ACCTAATGAGACCCTGTCTCAAAGCTAAAGAAAAAACCACCATCAATGTTGTGACCTGAACAGCTCCAGAAACAAATGCAGCTTTATAGTCTCCTGTCACTCAATGTCCTTTAAAAACACTGCTGCATCTAAGTACCACTCAGGAGAGAGGAGGCATCTGGCTGGCGAAGTGATAAAGACACATAGAAAGAGAACTCCGTCCTCTCCCTGAGAGTCCTAAAGGCAGGCAGTGCTGCAGACACACATATAAACAAACAACAAACTGTTGTTAATACTGTCAACTTGACAGGATCCAGGGTCACCTAGGAGACCAGCCCCTGGTGCGCGCCAATGAGGGGTTGTCCTACTAAGTTAATGAGGCTGGAAGACTCTCTTTAACTGTGGGTAGCATCATTTCACAGGTTGGGGTCATGGACTGAATAAAGAGGAGAAAGGGGGCCCTGAGCAACTGCTTTCTTCTCTCTCTGCTTCCTGCCTGCAGTTGCAATGGGATCAGCTGCTTCCTACTCGCTACCAGGCCTTTCCTGCCATGGGGGCAAAACAAACCTTTTTTCCTTAAGTGGATTCTATAAGATACTTTGTTGTAGCAATGAGGTATTACAACTAATATGGGGAGGGACGAGGCCGGGGGGGACAGGGTATATGGGGGGCATAGACACCAACAAATAGGGACAGTTGGACATGGGGAGGGTGGGCAGAGGGATGGGGGTACAGGGTGCAGAGACAGGACGAGGAACAGACACAAAGAAGGTTAGGATCATAATAGTAATTCCCACTTTACGTAGAAAGTAAAGGAGGCACTGAGCATAAAGAAAAGCACTTTGCGGGGCTGTGGAGATGGCTCAGAGGTTAAGAACACTGTCTACTCTTTCAGAGGACCTGAGTTCAATTCCCAGCAACCACACGGTGTCTCATAACCATCTATAATGAGATAAGATGCCCTCTTCTGGCCTATAGGGATATATGCAGGCAGAACACTGTATATATAATAAATAAATATTTAACAAAAAAGAAAAGCACTCTGCACAGTACCCAGCACCAGACACATGCGTCGGCTGTAGCTGGTTTTGCTGCTCTGACTAGGTGACCGGCACTAAGACAGCACGTATCTTATCTGATCTTTCTTACATACACTGCTCCCTAGCTGTGTAGGCTCTCAGAACAAATGTTCCGTGGCATCTCCCTCTATGCTACCCTTGCTGTGGGTCATGCCCCATGGTGCTGGGGGCCAGGCTCTGCTTGGAGCCACACCCTCTGAGGGGCAGCCGCCAGGGCCAGGCTATTGTTGTGGCTAAGATTCTTTCCCCAAATGGAAAGCCACAAATTAGAGAGGAGTTTTGGCCCTGCTCTCAGGAACTGGGGGAGGCCACCAGCGCATCAGGGGCCTCCTTCCAGGTCAGCGTCCCTGCCTGGGTGCAAACCGGCCCCCACTCAGCACCGCATTCTGGGTACTCCACTTCTCTCTAAGCCTCTTGCCCTCCCTGAGACCCCAGCTCCTGCTGTCCTCTGACCTGAGGTTCTCAGGGCTCTTTCACCCCCAGCCCAAACAATGATCCCCTCCAGGCTCTGTTCAAAGCCCCTCTTTGAAGCTCCCCCACCCCAGCCAGGCAGAACAAATCGCCCCTGCCCCACCCCTGTCATCTGCTTTGTTCATTTCTCCTTGTGGCAGAGCTGGTCAATCTCTTTCTGTGGCCCCCTTGCCCCACCTCTGCTGCCACCCTCCTGATGAGTCTCTTAAGAGTATGTGACCTCCGTCTGCTGACCTCACAGCACAGGGAAAGTGTCCCCAGTGATCTGTGGGGCAGCTGAGAATGAGACGGGGGGGGGGGGGGGGGGGGGGGG